ATACACAGTAACCATGTACACATCGACTTATTTTTACTTAAAAAAAATTCCAGAATTGCACAAAAATGGCATTGCGCACACTCTTGACTTTATCCATGTACACTGCTTTTTTTCTCATAAATTAGAAAAATTTGCACGAAAATCCAGGAAAATGTTGTCAATTTTTAAACTCGGTAAAAAGCACATATATGAAATTACCTGATCGCAAAAAAGTATATACCCTTTCCAAGGATGAACATTTGCACGTATAAAATAAATAAAATATCCAAAAACTTTTTCCTTTAAGTTATCTATTATAAACGTCACCTGCAAATTTATAACATAAACATTAAAAATGGTTCCAAATACAAACATATAACTCACAAAATCACGATCATTAAATTAAAATATAATTAAATTAAAAAACACTACTTAAAATATAAATAAGCACATACATTAAATTAATAAAAATTAGCTTACAATCCTAATTACTTTAAACTAATTCATTGCTAATAACAATTTTCCAATAATACCAAATTAATTAATTTATTCCTTAGATGCACAAAAATAATATCCTCAAATGATTAAAAATACTAACATACCTAATCTTCTTCACAATCTTGATTGCATGGCGGATAAACATTTCTTACAGATTCAATAATCCAGTAGTCAACTGGCAGTCTATTCACCCACTAATAAGAAATTAATAAAATTTTCACCCCAGACTTTCAGCAAACCACGTACCCTTCCTTACACTCCGTTTCACAAAATGTCCATTTTCACCAGCTTTGCACCGCCATTCAAACTTATCTGTAATATCCTTCCTTTCACACAATCTCATTTCATTCCCACATGTTGGACATTCATACTTATCCGCAATTAATCCTACACTCCTACACCATTCAAGCAATTCTTTTGGATTACACATAAACGCAATAAAAATTTCCGATTTACTTTACATAGGGCCATGGGATCCAAATATTAAGCAACACTGTTTCACAGAACATAGAATGAAGCTAATGCTATAAAGAACGGCAGATATTTTCACAAATTTACCCACTTTTCCGATTAAAGAACTGTGATTTAGCCATTAATGTCACATGACATATCTCATGATCTCTCATTTCCCTCGCACAAAATAATGCGTAATCGGAACTGAGTACTTCTCACATTATTCCCAAAGTCCTAGGTAGTAAACCTTTATCGCCTACCAAAATGTCGCCAAACTACCTATTGCCATATTCCAAAGATTAGCCCCGCATTTTTAAGAATAGCACATACACAGTATCCATGTACAAGTCGACCTATTTTCACTTAAAAAAAATCCCACAACTGCACAAAAATGGCATTGTGCACACTCTTGACTTTATCCATGTACACTGCTAAAGTCCTAGCTAGTAACCTTTATCGCCTTACCAAAATGTTGCCAAACTACCTGTTACCATATTCCAAAGATTAGCCGAAACAAGAGCCGTTCAAATTTCTCGTTACGAGCCCCAACCTCCGAAGAGGAAAACCACAAGGGAGAAAAAGTTTCAGATCAAAGGAGAGGAAACGGAAAAGAGGACAGATCACTGGGCCCCAGGATTGTGACACCCGTCTCACCAAGATGATTCCCCTGATGGGCTAGCTTATCTCGGGATTGTCACACCCATACTCACGAGTGAGGCCCTGGGGGGAGTATAATAGGTAATGAAATGATACCTCATTCAGTTAGATAGATATTGATAAATTAAAATTCAATTACATGGATAAATTTTACTACAGCTTCTCTCAGGCATAAAGCATTTATACCAACAAACAAGAAATTAGAGAAATCCAGTCAGATATAGATTTTAATGTGATAATTATATTCATGCTAATTCAGAAGTCAAACAACAAAAATCAGCGTTATACCTACAAAATTTTCACAGGACTAGTTTCGATGGTTTTACCGAACCATCATCTTCAGCTGCAAAACCGCAAATGAACAAGATAAGGAAATACTGATTAGATAAGATAGAAAGCCTGGACAAGAATAAGCAAGTGGCGCCATCTGTTGGCGAAACCAGAACTAAAACATAATTTCTCTAAAAGCCGAAGGCAAATTTGGATTGGAATTAGGATCGTTAACTAGAACAGAAGAATTTTTATGAATGTGAAATGCCTCTAGAAAATCCAGTTCTCCAATGGAAGATGTTTTTTGAATAATTTTGGCAGCAGAAAAATTGAAAGTGTGATTTTCGGACCAACAATGTTGCGCAACAGAAGACTTCTGTGTTTCCTTTTTTCTAACATATGCCTCATGTTCCTTGACGCGAAACTTTAAGGCTCTCTTAGTTTGGCCAATGTAAATTAAACTACACTGGCAAGGAATCCTATAAATACCCCAGGAATTCATATCCGGAATGGGGTCCTTAAGTATGGAACTCGGAATTTTATTGATGGGAGAAAACAACCCGAAAGTTAAATTTCTGCAAAATATGTGCACTTTATAGCTAATTGATGGAAAGAAGGGAATAACAACAGAATTTTTATAATCTCCTAAAACAAGAGCGTGCCTTTTAGTGTGTTGAGATGAGAATCTTTTAACTGCTTGATTAATGATGTTGGGTGAAAAGCCCCTGTCAATAGCTATTGCTTTTAAATAATTTAGTTCTTCCTCAAGGGCTAGTTTGGAGGAGCAAACTTGAAGAGCACGGAAAACATAGGAATAAAATAAAGCTAACTTTTGTTTAGTCAGATGACGTGATGTGTGGTGGAAGGCAAACCGATGAAGGTTTACGGTAAACCGTAGTACTGAAGTTGGATGTGTTACGTGTGACTAGAACGTCGAGAAATGGAAGAGAATTGCAAGTCTCAAGTTCAAAAGTGAACTGAATAGCAGGATCAATAGAATTCATTGTTGAAAGAACTTTATTTAAATCATCTTTATTACCTTCAAACAGGGTAAAAGTATCTCATCAATTTCGATGCAAGAGAAGTGAAATTCGCGAAGTCTGGTTTCTAGACATCTTAATGCACCTTCCACTGGGACATTGGTGAATAATGATTTTACATCAAAAGAAACCATGAGTAAATTACTAGGAGAAATGTTTTAAACCTTTTTTACAAACTATTGAATTTTTTTATGGTGTAAATGTTATTGTCTAATAGAGTGGAAAATCTAGAAACCAAATATTTAGCTAAGGATACGAGGCAGTACCTAAATTTGATACAATAGGGCGGAAAGGAATACCACTTTTATGAATTTGGGAAGAGCATATAATCTGGCACAATTCGCAACAGATGGATAAGCGAATGTTTTAAGTTGCTTGAAATGATTTGCGAAGATTTGATCGCAGTTTTTATTTTGGATAAGTCCGAAGGTGAAGGATCTTTAGGGATCGGATTATATGGTCCTTCGTTTAAGAGTTTAGTGACACCATCGATGTAAGTGTTCTTATCCATGACGACTATCTGGCCGCCTTTGTCGGCCTTTGAAATGATAATATCCGGGTTAGAATGAATTTATTCGGTGTGTTATTGTGTCTTAATTATATTCATGCTGTTATATAAAGTACAGAAATGACATAAAATAGTATAAATATATAGATATAAAGTAGCAGATATATATGTGCTAATATTAAACTACCAGTTAGCTAAATACCTCAACAAAAAAATCATTGCAAACATCAAATATGGCAGTACATTTGAAATGGTGATAGAATGAAACATAAGGAAAGTGATTGCTCCTTTCTTTATGGAAATGAAAGTAAACACCAATGAGGGGAAAGGAGGGAAACCTGCTTTTATGATATTAGAATGATAAAACATGCAAATAGCTACAGGATCAAACACGTTTATCCCAAAATAGTAATTTCACTATTATTATGTTGGCTTCAAATTTATCCATAACTTCCAACTTTGAATTCAATACACAGTGATCTGAGCTTATTATGATATATAAACTAGAAAACTGTTGTTGGGTTCAGTTAGCTTATTTTCAAATAATTGCATGTTCATTTCATACAAGTTGTTTACCCAAACTATGGAATCATATTTACCTCTCTATATACTTTTTAACAACTATATATTTTAAAATTTTCATGAAAATTTAAATAATAGGTATAAACAGGGAGCTGAAGTAACAAAAACTGAAGTTTCGTGGCATGTATTAGTGAACTATACAAATTGGAGTAATATATTACACATGCATTGCTCCTTCTATAAGAAATACAGCATTCAAAGGTAAAATATGGACATGATATTTTACCTTTTAGGAAAAGTAGCACCTAATTTTCTATAATCTTAATTAATAATTTTTCTCCAATCTATACATGAATATTTATTTTGAGATACATGCAGCTGATTTACTTATGCTTTTACACATGTGTAATAAAATTTGAAAGCAAAATAAATTCCCAATTACTTAATTTCACTTGAAATAAAATGAAGATAAATAGTTATTGATAAATATATGGCAATTAATAAATTTTTTTAAAAATACAGCATTTTAGATTTTAAAATTATCAAATTAACTGAGTGATTAACCATAGCTGCCAACCTTAAAACTTAAATCTGTTTTTGTGAGAAAACTGGGACCTTTTCATGCTGAGCAGCAACACCAATCAAATTAACTCTAAACTGCCTTTGATTTACTTTCTAATGCATGATTCTGATTCATGTTATTGGACTATTTGTAATACATTGCAGTAGATTAAGACAACTCAGATCAAATCAAATTTAATAAGATCAATAAAATGTCATAAAAGTACAATTCAGATACAATACAATTTAATAAGAAAAATTATTCTGAAAGTCACAATATGTGGAGGAATGCAATTGTCTACTTTCATGTTCATTAATTCAATAAATTTCATTTATTGCTAGAAAATATTTTCTTTAATAAAGGCTAAAAATTAAAAACCAGGAGATTTGGCAGCTACGGTTTAACATTTAAGAAATCAGAAAATGAGGTTAATATGCACCTTTAGCTACTTTAAACAAAACTAACGCAACTTAAAAATCTGTATAATTTATATATCATGAAACTTGTTTACCAATATCATCAGAAATCACAGGAAAACATCACCGAACTCTAGTGCGTCAAAAAAAAATTTTCTCCATGTGGTTATTCGCAGATCTCCACAAGTGAACAGGGGAAAGTAAAAGTAGTAGTAGGCAAAGAACTTTTCGGCAAGGCTTTCTTTTTTAATCTTTAGTTGTTCTTTGGAACATCTGCGAAGATTTATTCGCAAGAAATTAGCGATATATAAATTGATCTTTATTACTAAAATAAGGTACAAGCTCTAGTAAACTGAGGGAAATTATGAAATGAGAAAGAATTATATAGAGGGAGAAGAGAGAAATTTTGCAGATACCGAGACTTACTTTTCCTAATGCAAATTCACAATCGGCATATTCATAATGGTAAAAAAATTCTTATAAATTATTATCACCACCGTTATCCAAATTATAATGCTGTTATATAATTATAAACGTTTTCTGATATATGTATAAAGATAATAATGAAACAACTGAATATTGCAAGGATTAAAAACTACAACTCTCCAAATCATTATTTGTTTATTTTCGTTATCATGGTAACCAGGGGCAACGCTTTAGTTGTAGTGCATCACAACTTGGATACTTCGCATTATGGAATAAAAATGCGTTTAAAGCACTTAAAAACTTTGCATCCTGCTCAGGATGGAGCCGAGAGAGTAATGGCAATGTGTTGGTCACCGAATAACAAAAGACTTGCTGTGTGTACTGCTGATCGAACTGTATTATTATTTGATGCAAGTGGTGAAAAACGAGATAAATTTTCTACCAAGCCGTCAGATTCCGCTTATGGCAAAAAAAGTTATGTCGTAAAGGGGATGGCGTTTTCACCAGATTCTACTAAAATTGCTGTTGCACAAAGTGATAATATAGTTTTTGTCTATAAAGTTGGTGAGGACTGGGGAGAAAAGAAAGTCATATGTAATAAATTCATATGTCAAAGTGCCGCCACTTGCATCACTTGGCCATCCGAAGGACCCTTAGTAATTGGTCTTTCTGAAGGAAGAGTTAGAGTTGCGCATGCAAAGAATAATAAAACTACTACTCTATATAATTCTGACTCATATGTTGTTTCTCTAACAAGCAATATTTCAGGTAAAGGTGTTATTTCTGGTCATGCAGATGGATCAGTTGTAAGATTTTTCTTTGATGATGAGGGAAGTGGAGATCTTCAAGGAAAAATCATAATCCATACGTGTCCTCCATATGCTTTAGTGTGGGCTGCTCAGTCAATCATTGCTGCAGGTTGTGACAAGAAAATTGTTGTTTATGGAAATGATGGTTCTTTAAAAAAACAAATTGACTATAGTCGTAATCATACTGAGAAGGAATTTACTACAGCTATTTGCAGTCCTAGTGGGAAAACAGTTGTAATTGGGAGTTTTGATAGACTGCGTATATTGAATTGGAGTTCTCACCATCATGACTGGGAAGAAGCCAAACCAAAAGAAGTTGCAAATTGGTACACAATATGTAACCTTGCATGGTCTAAAGATGGATCAAAACTATCTGTTGGTACATTAACTGGTCTTGTTGAGTTGTTTGATTGCAGTATGAAAAAGACATTATATAAAAAAATATTTGAGGTTACATATATTGATCCAAGTCAAGTAATTGTTAGGAACATTACTACAAATATGCAATCCATTTTAAAATCCTCTAGTGGGAGTGAAATTGTTGATATTAAAATTTTAGGTAAAAATAGATATATAGTTGCTCATACAGTACAAACTCTTCTTCTTTGTGACATGTTTACAAATCTCGTAAGTGAAGTGCCTTGGAATGGTGTAGGAGAAAACGTAAAATTTTTCTTTGACTTTGAAAATGTATGCATTGTATTCAATGTTGGTGAATTATCATTAATTGAATATGGAAACAACACAATTTTAGGATCAGTGAGAACAGAATTTATGAATCCACATCTCATAAGTGTTCGCTTAAATGAAAGAGAAAGTAAGTTGCCTGATAATAAAAAACTTGCATATCTCATTGATTTGAAAACAATAGCTGTATTAGATCTGGTGAATAACCAGTTACTCACACAAATTATCCATGAATCAAAAATTGATTGGCTGGAACTCAGTGAAACTGCTCGAAAGCTTTTATTTCGGGATAGACGGCAAAGACTTCATTTAGTTGATATTGAAAAAGATGAAAAGAAAACAATGTTAAACTATTGTTCATTTGTACAGTGGGTGCCAGGTAGTGATGTTGTTGTAGCACAAAACAGAGGCAGTCTGTGTGTGTGGTATAACATTGAATCACCAGATAAAATAACTATAATGCCCATAAAAGGAGAAGTGGTTGAAATCCAAAGAAGTGATAGTAAGACTGATGTAATAGTGAATGATGGATCATCTACGATAACATATGCACTAGACGAGGGACTGATCGAGTTTGGCAGTGCAATTGACAATCATGATTTTAAAAGAGCTGTCTTATACCTTGAGAAATTGGGTTTTTCAGAAGAAACTGAAGATATGTGGGCAAATTTAGGGAAGCTGACTTTAGAATCTGAAAATTTACTTATTGCAGAGCGATGTTATGCTGCTGTTGGTGATGTTTCAAAAGCTAGATTTTTAAGAGAAACTATATCTATTGCACATGAAGCTGCTGCTCATTCAGACAGTGATGGAATGGATTATTATCAAGTAAGAGCACGCTTAGCAATAATGATGAAAGACTATAAAACAGCAGAAAGTATATACCTTGAACAAAACAAGATCGAGGAAGCAATTCAGATGTATCTTGATTTACATCGATGGGATGATGCTATTGAATTAGCAAAAGTTACTGATCATCCAGATTTAGAAAGACTGAATGAAACCTATTTCCAATGGCTTCAAGAGACTGGTCAAGAAGAAAAGGCAGGAGAACTAAAAGAAGCTGAAGGGGAATATCGTGAAGCTATTCGTTTATATCTGACAGCTGGATTACCAACTCGTGCAGGGAGAGTCATAACTAATATGCAAATATTAGCAGAAAATGATGAATTAGTGCAAGAAATTGCATCTGCCTTGATGAAAGGAGAATTCTATGAGCATGCAGGAGATCTCTATGAAAAAATAGATAATTACCATAAAGCTTTAGAATGTTATAGACTTGGTAATGCTTTCAACAGAGCTGTTGAATTGGCAAGGTCAGCTTTCCCTGAGGAAGTTATACACTTGGAAGAAGAATGGGGTGATCACCTCGCATCAATTAAACAATTAGAAGCAGCAATTAATCATTATATAGAAGCTGGAAAATCAGTTAAAGCTTTGGAGGCTGCTATCAATGCAAAGCTATGGAAAAAAGCTGTAGAAATCATGGAAATAATTGATGACACTGAATCTTTAAGTAAATACTTAAAACCTATGGCTCAGCATTTTTACTCAGTAGGGCAATATGAGCTTGCAGAGCATCTTTTAGTTGAGGGAGGTATGACTCGTGAAGCAGTCGACATGTATAACCGTATAGGTGAATGGGATAAAGCCTATAAACTTGCTAGTCAGTTTTTAGATTCGGGAGAAGTTAGACGAATGTACATATCACAAGCTAAAATGTTAGAAGAAAAAGGAGATTACAAGGATGCTGAAAAATTATATACATCAGCTCATGAATATGATAAGGCTATAGCAATGTATGAAAATTTAAAACAGTATGATAAAGTTATAAAAATGGTAAAAAAGTATTATCCAGAGAAGCTTCCCGAAACCTATATACATATTGCAAAAAAACTAGAAGCAGATGAAAAATATATGCAAGCTGAAGAGTATTACAATACTGCCGGTGAATGGAAAGCTGCTGTGAATATGTATCGCAATTTAGATATGTGGGAAGATGCTTACAGAGTGGCAAAAACAAGAGGCAATGACATAGCAGCTAAACAAATTGCCTATCTTTGGGCAAAAAGTGTTGGAGGTGATTCAGCAGTTAAGCTGCTCAATAAATTTGGCTTATTAGAAAGTGCAATAGACTATGCAGCAGAAAACTGTGCATTTGATTTTGCTTTTGAACTAGCTCGTACAGCAATGAAACAAAAACTGCCAGCTATTCATTTAAAATATGCAATGTTTTTAGAAGATGAAGGCAAGTTTAAAGAAGCAGAAATAGAGTTTATTCATGCACATAAGCCAAAAGAAGCAGTTTTAATGTATGTGCATAATCAAGACTGGGAAAGTGCACAAAGGGTTGCAGAAGCTCATGATAAAGATTCTGTACCTGACGTTCTAATTGGGCAGGCTAGATTTTGTTTTGAAAGAGGAGAGTTTCAGAAAGCAGAATCATTACTACTCAGAGCAGAAAGAGCAGATCTTGCTATAAAGTATTATAAAGAAGCAGGCATGTGGAACGAGGCTCTTAGAGTCTGTAAAGATTACACTCCAAATAAACTTCTGGAACTTCAAGAAGAATATGAATCAGAAAGTTCTGAAAGAGGTACTAGAGATGTTCAACACTTGTATGAACAAGCTGTTAGCTGGGAAGAAACAGGTCAGTATCAAAAAGCTATTGATAAATACTTACAGATTTCACCTTCCAATACAAATGATTATGATTTTATTGAGAAATGTTGGGTGAAGGCTGCTGAAATATCTTGGAAATTTATGAGCAAACAGCACACAGAGCATCTTGTTCAGCAAATTGCTCCTAAATTGTTACAGATGAAAAAACAAACTACAGCAGCACAACTTTTTTTAAAGATAAACTCAATAAAGAATGCTCTAGATGCTTTGATAGATGCCAAAGATTGGAGCAAAGCTAAACGAGTAGCAGCAGAAGTAGACCCTAGATATGAAGAATATGTGGATAATTGTTATAAAGATTACTTACGTTCTGAGGGAAACACCTCTGAATTAGCAGATATTGATGTAATTGCTGCCTTGGATGTATATGCTGAGAAAAATCAGTGGGAAAAATGTCTCGACATGGCTCAGAAACAAGGTATGAAAGTTCTGCATAAATATGTTGCACTTCTAGCTATAAAACTCATAAAAGAAAAGAAAGAACAAAAAGCTCTTAGTTTATATGTCAAATATGGAATACCAGCTATAACTCAAAATTTTTCAATTTATCGACATATTGTGTCAGCCATTTTTGCAATGCAAGATACATTTTCATATGAG